CAAAGGTCTTCGAAAGACTAGTCAGCAATCAACTAAAAGATTTCCTTGAGGAATCAAGCATTTTATCAAGGGAACTGGAAAGCATTGGCCTTTGTGACTGTTTTAAACAAGATGTTACACTGCTTCTATTCTATCACTGACAATTTTATTTATTTTATTCTATTGTATTTCTTATTGAGTTATTATTTATTTTAAATGATTTGACTGTAACTCTTTAACTTTGCTGCCTCTTGGCCAGGTCGCTTTTGTAAAAGAGATTTTATATCTCAATAAGCCTCACCTGGTTAAATCAAGGTTAAATTAAAAAAAATTATCATTATTTAAATGAAGCATAGTGGTAGTTCATGCAGCTGATCCTAAGCCAGCCCTCAGTCAGCTGACAGCTCAGGTGATCGCACTCTATACATCCTATTAGCAAATGTCAAAGTGGCACCCTATTTAAATTGCTTCTCCTGCCTACTCTGCCAGCTGCAACCTCTCTGCAACCCACCTCCACCCCAGCTCCTCCTGTTTATGTTGTGTCTGATCTTACCAGTGTCATATGCATGGTCACTGATGCTTGCTCTGTTCTGTGGGGGGATTTTAATTCATTTATCTTAATCGTATTTATTTGCTGCTGCTTTCTGTGCCTCGGCTTTTCATGTATGCACATAAAAGGGAGGGAAGGAGCTCTCCCCTCTTAAAGCCATGGCATTCCGTGCAAGCGCATGGAAGGGAAGGGAACCCTCAGAACAGAGCATACCGCCAATGTAAAAATGTTTGCTTGTAATAAATAATTAATTTTGACTAAAGTGATCCTGACTGAAATATAAATATTGGAGTAATAGTAATAGTAATGTTATTTTTGAGCTGCTGGATGATGTAGAGCTGATTTAGAGCCAGTCACAAAAATGATCCATGCTTTATCTCCTGTTGAAAAACTTCTTGTAACATGGCATTTTCCTGTGTCTGGATCATTCCAGCACATCATCGTAGTTAGTGCCTCTCCCAGAGTAGTTTTTCTGGTGTGCTGTCCCAAGTGTTGAATGCTATGTCATGCAAGATGGGCAAGTATGTTCAGTTCCCACGCACTTGGGACGCAGTAAATAAGAGAAAACATGGCAGGTCTTGGGGACTGTTGTGTCTTGGAGACGTTTGATGGTAAGCAGTGATGTACTTAGAGGAAAGGGGGACAAGGCACTCATTGGGCATTTCCCCCAAATGCCCTCATGCCAAAACATGCATTAAAAAAAGGTGTGATCACAGATACCCGAGGAACCCTGGAGCAAACATCAGGAAATAAAGCAGCAAGTCCAACATCAGCAAAGGACGTTAACTGGACATGATTTTTGCTCTGATTTCTAATTGGATCAAAGTGTGACGGTTAAAAAATGATCTTTTCAGCAGATGTTTTCTTTGCCAGGATTCTCAGAACTATCAAATAAAAACTGCTGATAAAACCACCATCTACTGTTGGTTAAATATCAGGTAAACAGATATTCACTGAGGAGATATTAATCATAAACTGTGAGAGAAACACACAGGCTCATTTAAACTGTCTCCAATTCTGCTTTTAATGAGAGTTTCTACATCTGGGCATCATTCTTTTGCAGACTCATACATTACAGTGAATAATAAATGTCTATAAATGACATAAAAACATTTCACAAACAATAAAAAAGTCCTATTAATATACGATATTGTAGAGATTCACAAGTAAGAGTGTTTGACTGCTGTGGGCTCGCTCAGTGAAGGTGAACTGATCACCAGGAGACAATATTTTTAAAATGTAATAATTTCGTTGATGCAAAGAAAGGATTTGTCCATCACCCACAGCATTTCCTTTTATTTATTATTCCAGCAAATAGGAGACTGTAATTAGACTTCAGAGGAACCAGGAGGACAAAAAGGAGCAATTCTGGTTTCATCGGTGCAGCCTGGTTAGCCTGATTAAAAGGCTTTTATTTCTATGTGTTAGAGAGAGAGAGAGAGAGAGAGAGAGAGAGAGAGAGAGAGAGAGAGAGAGTGTTTGTGTGTGTGTTTGTGTGTGTGTGTGTGTGTGTGTGTGTGTGTCTAAACTACATACACACTTTTTCATCCAGAATCAATGCCATGCAATCCACTCGCAATCTACTTTTCAAAGAAAACAAGAATTAGACTAAAGTAAAGAGGGGCTGTGGGATGCTGCAGAGAGGGATTTATTATATCATATATTTATTTATTAGACCCTCTTTTTCCAAAAACAGACACACTGATGTTCATTGCAGAGGCTCCATGATGACAACAATGACCAAAAATAAACTCAGTAACTGACATTCACTCATGACCTTCAAGGCAACACCCATTCTGATGAAAATCATGTTGTCTATGTGTTTATATATCATTTTTTTCTGATGCTAGAGGACACATGACGAGAAAACCAAAAGCAAAATTCCATTTCGAAGTATTTCTTCATTCAAATCACTGTGAATCTTTGGCAGATCCAAACGGCAGGCTCAGCCACAGTGGGATTTCCTACATCACAAGTGCAAGTTCCACCCCCAGAGCCCCGCTACGCAAGCCAGTCCCTGAAAAGCAGAGAGGACAATTGTAGCATTAGCGGATTGCAATGCTGGTAAGAAAGCTAATTATGATATTAGCTTCCATCTTTTCCCTTAAGACATTAGTGTCCGAGAGCTGAATAGCTCCTATATTACCTGACACTTCTGCTACACTGGCAATGTAAAGCTGCAAGCTAGCATAAAGAGGAGGGTGCAGAGCAGAATTGTCTCCGCCTACAACTCAGAGGCAAATTGCTAATGAGCAACTGGAGCTCTGTGGAAGAAAAACCCTAAAAAATGACACTGGTGACTTGATTTTGGCTAAAAACTTAATAATCACAATCTGAAGACCACTGAGAACACTTAAGGTCATAAAAAAGGATTAAAGAGGAACTTTAAAGTCTCATCTTGTCAAGGTTCAGGCACCGAGGCTCGAATGCGGACAAAGAGACTCAAGACAGAGCAGTTCAGTTAAACAGATATTTATTTGGTCCCAAAAATGCAAACAGAAATAGGAAAACGGAACTAAGGTGGGCAGTAACAATTAACAAAAAGCGCTGTCTGAAAAACGCGAGACAGGATCAGTAATAATTAACAAAAAGCGCTGTCTGTAAAAACGCGAGACTGGAACAGTAATAATTAACAAAAGCGCTGTCTGCAAAACGCGAGACTGGAACAGTAATAATTAACAAAAGGCGCTGTCTGCAAAAACGCGAGACAGGGTCAGAACAATTAACAAAAAACGCTGTCTGCAAAACGCGAGACAGGGTCAGAACAATTAACAAAAAACGCTGTCTGCAAAACGCGAGACGGGGTCGGGTACTACCAGAGCTAGCGAGAGAGCGAGTGAGCAGGCAGTCCGTGATTTCCGACTGGAGGGGGAGAGGCAGGTGGTGATGGCGTGAGGCGGCGTCCTGGACGGAGCTGGGATGAAAGCAGGAGAGCTGGGTACGCAGGCGGGAAGAGCAGGCGGAGTGGGCAAGGGATTTTCAGGTTACGGTCCAGCGTCGGGTTGTGGGAAGTGTCCGGTTTTTATGGCAGCGGGTGAATGAATGAGAGCGCTCCTCTCCCCGCCACACGGATCGATCCGCTGATTAGAAATTGGCTGCACCTGTCCGCCCTGAAGCTGCATCACACCAACACCTGCTTAGAGAGAGGGAGAGGAGGAGAAGAGGGAGGGGGGAGAAGAGAAAAGAGGGAGAAGAGAAAAGAGAGGCTGCCCCTATCTGGCCCTAGAAGTAGAGGGCGTGACAGTACCCCCCCCCCCCCCCCTACGTGCACCTCCAGGTGCACGAAGGCGCTTCTCTGGGTGGCGGCGGTAGAGGTCGCTGACCAACGTGTGGTCCAGGATCTGGCGACGGGGAACCCAGCTGCGCTCCTCTGGCCCATATCCCTCCCAGTCGACCAAGAACTGGACCCCTCTACCCCGCCGACGGACATCCAGCAAGCGACTGACAGTGTAGACTGGCCCATCGTCCACTATCCTGGGCGGAGGAGGGGGATGGACGGGTGGGGCCAAAGGACTCTCCCGTACCGGCTTCAGCTGCGAAACATGGAACGTGGGATGAATCTTCATGGACCGGGGCAGCTTTAGCCGGACGGCAGCGGGGTTAATGACCCTCTCCACCTCGAACGGACCAACAAAGCGTGGGGCCAACTTCTTTGACTCCACCCGGAGTGGGAGATCCTTGGCCCTGAGCCAAACCTTCTGGCCCGGGGCGTAGGCAGGAGCAGGGGAACGGCGACGGTTGGCCTGTTGCTCCATTCTCAAGGAGGCCCGGCGGAGGGCGACCCGAACCTTCCTCCAAGTTCGTTTGCACCTCCTGACGAAGCTTTGCACCGAGGGTATGACAATCTCCTCTTCAGAAGCTGGAAACAGGGGGGGCTGGTATCCCAGGACGCACTGGAAGGGGGACAGTCCAGAGGAAGAGTTAGACAGGGAGTTGTAAGCATACTCCACCCAGGGGAGTTGATTGCTCCAGGTCGTAGGGTGTTCTGAGGCCACACAGCGTAGGAAAGTCTCTAGAGACTGATTGGCCCGTTCTGTCTGGCCGTTCGACTGTGGGTGGAAACCAGAAGAGAGACTGACCGTGGCCCCCAGAGCCTTACAAAACGCCCTCCACACCTCTGACGTGAACTGGGGACCACGGTCGGAGACTATGTCGGAAGGGATGCCGTGAATCCTGAAAACCTGAGAGACCAGAAGATCTGCAGTCTTAATGGCTGTGGGTAACTTGGGCAGGGGAAGGAAATGGGCAGATTTGGAGAACCGGTCGACAATGGTTAATATGGCAGTGTTGCCCTGGGAAGGAGGGAGGCCTGTGACAAAATCCACTGCAATGTGGGACCAGGGTCTCCTGGGAATGGGAAGCGGCCGCAGGAATCCGGAGCTGGGTTGATTGGATGTTTTGTTGCGGGCACAGACGGAGCAGGCCAGGGTGAACTCACGGGTGTCTGCCTCCATGGTGGGCCACCAGAACCGTTGCCGGAGGACCTCTAAGGTGCGGGCAGATCCGGGATTACAGGCGAACTTAGAGGTATGCCCCCACAGGAGGACCTGCGGGCGGACGGCTTCTGGGACAAACAGGCGGTTTGGAGGACCGCCTCCAGGGTCAGGTTGCTGTTCTAGGGCCTGGAGCACTTGGGCCTCAACCTCCCAAGTGAGGGAGGCGACAATGCGAGTCTGGGGCAAGATGGGTTCCGGGTCTGGCAGGGCGTTCTCTCCGGAGAACTGACGGGACAGGGCATCAGGCTTGGTGTTCCTGGACCCGGGGCGATAAGTGATGGAGAAGTTGAAGCGGCTGAAGAAGAGGGACCAGCGGGCCTGGCGGGAATTCATCCTCCTTGCCGACCTGATGTATTCCAGGTTCTTGTGGTCTGTCCACACGATGAAAGGCTGCAGGGCACCCTCCAACAGATGCCGCCATTCCTCCAGAGCGAGCTTGACGGCCAACAGCTCGCGATCTCCGACGTCATAGTTCCTCTCTGCGGGGGTAAGACGCCGTGAGAAGAAGGCACAGGGGTGTAGTTTTTGGTCTGTAGCAGCCCGCTGGGACAGGACTGCCCCTACCCCGGTGTCCGAGGCATCCACCTCCAGGATGAACTGTCTCTCGGGATCTGGCTGGATCAGGATAGGCGCCGAAACAAAGCGTTGCTTCAGCTCAGAGAAGGCTTTGTCTGCTTCAGGGGTCCAACCAAAGATCTTGGTGGTGGAAGTGAGGGTGGTCAGGGGGGCTGCCACAGAGCTGTAATTTCGGATGAAACGGCGGTAGAAGTTTGCAAAACCAAGGAAGCGCTGAAGCTGTCTCCGGTCTTCGGGACGGGGCCACTCAGTCACTGCCTCCACCTTTAATGGGTCCATCTTGACCTCCCCGGAGGAGATGATGAATCCCAGGAAAGCCACAGTGGATGCGTGGAACTCACATTTCTCTGCCTTGACGAAGAGGCGGTTCTGGAGGAGACGTTCGAGGACCTGGCAGACATGGCAGACGTGTTCTTCAAGGTTTCGGGAGTATATTAAGATGTCATCCAGGTAGACGAAGACGAACCGATTGAGCATGTCCCTCAAGACGTCGTTGATGAGGTTCTGGAAAACTGCGGGGGCGTTAGTGAGGCCGAAGGGCATGACCAGGTATTCAAAGTGTCCTAGGGGAGTATTGAAGGCGGTCTTCCACTCGTCGCCCTCCCGGATTCGGATGAGGTGGTAGGCATTTCTAAGATCCAGTTTGGTGAAGACAGAGGCTCCATGCAGCGGGGTGAAGGCAGAATTGATTAGGGGAAGGGGGTAAGTATTTTTAACAGTAATGTCATTGAGGCCCCGGAAGTCTATGCAGTGACGGAGGGATTTGTCCTTCTTGGAGACAAAAAAGAATCCAGCGCCGACAGGGGATGAAGAGGGGCGGATGATGCCAGCCGCCAGAGAATCGCGGATGTAGGACTCCATGGTGGCCTGTTCAGGTCTAGACAGGTTGTACAGTCTGCAGCGGGGTAGTGTAGCTCCGGGAAGTAAGTCTATAGCACAGTCGTAGGGTCTGTGTGGGGGCAGAGACAGGGCTTGATCCTTGCTAAAAACCATGGCCAGATCGTGGTACACAGAAGGTACAAGGTCCAGGTTGAGGGGTTCGGAAGGTAGGGCCCGGGTGCTGGCTCGAGTTTCAGGAGTCAGGGCAGACGTCAGGCAACGTTGGTAGCACTCCCGGCTCCAGGAACGGATCTCCCCCTGCTGCCAGTCAATGTGGGGATTATGGACCTGGAGCCAAGGGAACCCAAGAACCAAGGGTGGACTAGACTGGTCGATGAGGTGGAAGGAAATTGTCTCATGGTGGTTGCCCCCCACCACCAGGGAGACCGGAACAGTCTTATGGCGGACTTGGGCCAGGTGGAGTCCGTTCAGAGCACGAGCCTCCAGGGGCGCGTCAAGAGTTTCTGTGGGAATGCCGAGCTGGGACGCCAGGCGAGAGTCCAGGAAATTCTCTTCAGCCCCAGAATCCACCAGGGCTAGAAGAGGGATAGGCTGACGCTGCCAACACAGGGTTATGGCCACTTGGAGACGTTGTGGGGGCGAAGTAGTAGTACGGCTCACCAGCAGATCCCCCGTCACTGGCGAGCCGGACCTTTTGGCGGACGGGCGGGGCAGAAGGCAATGTAGTGACCCGGACGCCCACAATACAGGCACAGGTTTGCTGACCGACGTTGTAACTTCTCAGACTCAGTGAGGTGGGCACGGCCGATCTGCATTGGCTCTGGGAGAGACTCCGGCGGGGGGTCCGGCTGAGTTCTGGGGCCTGGGGCACTTGGGGTTCTGGTGGGTCCTAGTACAGAGCGGGCGCTGCGTTCTCGCCTCCTTTCCCGGAGCCGGTTGTCAATCTTAATCGCTAATGCGATGAGGTGGTCTAGGTCTGGAGAGTCGTCACGAGTTGCCAGCTCGTCCTTTAGGGCCTCACCTAGCCCTTTGTAAAAGGCTCCCTGGAGCGCGCCGTCGTTCCAGGAGCTCTCTGCAGCCAGCGTCCGGAACTCCACCGCAAACTCTGCGACACTCCTTGTCCCTTGGGAGATGGCCATGAGGCGGTGGCTGGCGTTGTTTCCGCTTACTGGGTGGTCAAAGACCTTCCTCATCTCTGCCACGAACGCCGCGTAGGACTCACAGGCACTGTCCTGGCGCCCCCAAACGGCCGTGCCCCACTCTCTCGCCTGTCCTGACAATAACCCGATGGTGTAGGCTATTTTTGAACGATCGGAGGCATAGGAGAGAGGCTGCATCTCAAAAACTAGTGAAACCTGAGTTAAAAAGGCCTGGCAGGATCCTAACTCCCCCCTGTAACGTTCAGGTACAGGCACTACAGGTTCACGAAAGGGAGGTGGAACACTAACGCTAGCCAAGCCAGGATTAGCGGCTAACGCTGGGCCTGGGGGAGCAGTCTTAGCAATTTGACCAGCCAACCCTCTTAACTGGGTGGTTAGTTCAGAGATCTGATTAAGCATAACATGATTACTACTGACCAGGGAACGCAACAATTCATCATGTTGAGCTAACACGCATTCCTGATTAGCAATAGCTTGTTGAAACGTGGTAGCGGGGGAGACTGCCTCCGCGCCAGTCTCTTTGTCTGCTGAGCTCATCTTGGCTGGACCGTACTGTCAAGGTTCAGGCACCGAGGCTCAAATGCGGACAAAGAGACTCAAGACAGAGCAGTTCAGTTAAACAGATATTTATTTGGTCCCAAAAATGCAAACAGAAATAGGAAAACGGAACTAAGGTGGGCAGTAACAATTAACAAAAAGCGCTGTCTGAAAAACGCGAGACAGGATCAGTAATAATTAACAAAAAGCGCTGTCTGTAAAAACGCGAGACTGGAACAGTAATAATTAACAAAAGCGCTGTCTGCAAAACGCGAGACTGGAACAGTAATAATTAACAAAAGGCGCTGTCTGCAAAAACGCGAGACAGGGTCAGAACAATTAACAAAAAACGCTGTCTGCAAAACGCGAGACAGGGTCAGAACAATTAACAAAAAACGCTGTCTGCAAAACGCGAGACAGGGTTGGGTACTACCAGAGCTAGCGAGAGAGCGAGTGAGCAGGCAGTCCGTGATTTCCGACTGGAGGGGGAGAGGCAGGTGGTGATGGCGTGAGGCGGCGTCCTGGACGGAGCTGGGATGAAAGCAGGAGAGCTGGGTACGCAGGCGGGAAGAGCAGGCGGAGTGGGCAAGGGATTTTCAGGTTACGGTCCAGCGTCGGGTTGTGGGAAGTGTCCGGTTTTTATGGCAGCGGGTGAATGAATGAGAGCGCTCCTCTCCCCGCCACACGGATCGATCCGCTGATTAGAAATTGGCTGCACCTGTCCGCCCTGAAGCTGCATCACACCAACACCTGCTTAGAGAGAGGGAGAGGAGGAGAAGAGGGAGGGGGGAGAAGAGAAAAGAGGGAGAAGAGAAAAGAGAGGCTGCCCCTATCTGGCCCTAGAAGTAGAGGGCGTGACACATCTAAAGCTTTTTCAGGCTGTTTGTGTCTTTTTATAGTATTTTTTTGCAGAAAGCATCACATGGAGGATCTGCAGCCTCTCAGTTTCTGAGCACTTCATCCATGCAGTGATCACGGTGGGCAGGGCAACAACTTTGGCTGCTCTGATTGGCTGCCAGAAAGTTGTCTGAATGATGTGTGCATGGCAGTGCAGACAAATCAAGAGGTACCAATCAGTGCACTTAAAAAATGCTGCAGACGAATGATTTTATATGTGAAAGTGGTCACTGATTGTGCGCAGGCTGAGAAAAAATTCTGTCCCCCAGATTGGCCTCTACAATATGTAATCCCCCTGTCAGACAACATTCAAGCAGTCAATCATAGCAGCATCACATCAACCCCACCCACCCAGATTGTTGCATGGATTGCAAACTGGTTGCAACCTGTGAGGCTGCAGATCCTCGAAAGACATTGGATGTGCGATTTCAAAACCTTGGGTAAGAACTTCACGTACCACCATACTGGACATTCAAATTCTCTTGCTCTGTTTTCCCAGCAGATGGACCACAGACTTAGTACAGATCCTCAGGCTAGGTGAAGCTTAAGGAGGCTGATGGTGTGTTTACACAAGTTTGTCATTGTTATTGTCCTCTTACTTGAACAAGGCTATCGAACTAGGAGCATGAAGGTGTGCATGTGTTGGACGTTGATTTTAAAACGTACTTTTAAATCAAGTGTCACCTGTTTACCTGTTGTTCTGGCACTTCACATCAACCATTTTCATTGACAAATCCAGATAGCCTGATAAATCTGTGCCCATGTGTCTGCATCAGAAACACTTTAACTCTAATGCAAACTAATCTGCAGGAAATCAGACCCTCAGACCCAGGAAGACTTCAAACCCCTAAGACAGTTAAAACTATATTTAAGTAATGGGGGTGTGAGAAAAATGACCTTGTCCATCAGCAACTCCAATCGGGTTCCAGAATAACAAGTTTAGCTCATGTTTTAGTGTGTAGACTTTACACCCTGGCTTTTGACTTAACAGATGTGTAGCTCACAGCCTCAGAGAGTTGGAAAAAGTCAGTTGAAGCTTTTAAACCACTAAACAAATGGCTTTGTGTGTTTGTGTATCTGTGTGTTTGTGTGTTGATTGGAGCCGGGGGCAGCGGGGTGTGAAGAGGACTCCGGTCTCCTTGGACTCTGACACTCCCACCCCGGGTCCACAGAAAGAGAAAGCACAAAGGAAAGTGTTAGATTTAGCTCCACACAATCTCCAGAGGTCCAATTATCAACCTTCAGCAGCTCTAAAAGCTCTAAAAATAAATAGTGTGTTAATTGGTTCCTGCAACCATCATCACCTGGTAAAAGGTGTGAGGTGGAGGTGGGATTAGCATCCTGCTACATCGGCTTTGTGGAGGTTTAAGTCTAAAGTCAGGGTGTAAAGAGTAGAACGGAGCGCCTTGCGGTGGAGATTCAAAAGAACTCGCTGAGATCATAACTTTAGCCTTAAGGCATATTTATTGATTTGTTTATCAGGCGGGAGAGATATGCAGTGTGCTGCCACTCACATCAATACCAGGGGTCCGTTTCACGTAGCAGGTTTAATGGAAACTCAGAGTTTCCCTGATTTCAGGGTTAACAGACTCTGAGTTTTCCATTTCACAAAGGAGGGTCAGTTAAACCAGAGAGAGAGGGGTAACTCTAACCTGTTTCACAAAGAGAGGTAACTCAACCTCGCGGTCAGTTACCATAGTAACAGACTCCGTGAACCTAACCTGGTCGGGACCAGGTTTTACTCAGTAAACCCAGAGTTTCAGGCGAGACATCGGCATTTTCTCATTTTGATCATGTTTTACATTGTCAAGTAAGTATTAAGTGGCAGTTTGAGCCCTTAAAAAATGCTCTTTTCACACTCAAAAATGAATTTTACTCTCTTCTGATGTTCCGTTAAATGATTAGGAATGTCAAACTAACACAGACTTTCACACAGCAAACAGAAAGAGGGCAGATGAACGGGTGGTGGCCCAGCAGCCCCACCTTTAACGGAGGCAGAGGAGCTGCCGACCCCCCCCCCCCGATCACGGCCGGTCCGATCTCAAATCCCCTGTCTGAAAGTCTGTGTTAGTTTAAGAGTAAAATTCATTTTTGAGTGTGAAAAGAGCATTTTTTAAGGGATCAAACTGCCACTTAATACTTACTTGACAATGTAAAACATGATCGAAATGAGAAAATGCCGATGTCGCACCTGTTTGCACAATGTTTTTATATTTAATTTTCAGCTGCTGCCAAGTGCGCTTTTGTCCCGCTGGATTGCACCTACATAAAATAAATTAATTTGCTCCATGCAAGCAGTTTCCCCTGCAACAGTCTGTCATTGTGATTGCACAAGGCTAGATTTAAAGTTACGCATTGACGCGAGCAGCAATTTCCTCCCATGCTCTCTCCCTCTCCTTTGCAGCTGCTGCTGTGTTGCACTTCCTTTTAAAAACGTGCTGTAATTCGCTGTTGGCTTGCATCAGTACTTCCAGCTCCACTGATGTAAAATATGCTGCCCTCCTTCTCCCTGTTTCCATTGGTTGATCAATGAATCTGGGCTCCACAGACGCTGGCTGTTTATGTCTGGCGTGCACGTTCTTAACTCCAGGTCAAACTACTCGGAGTTGCTAAAACTGACTCAAATCAGGTGTTGTGAAACCGGAAACTCAGAGTTTCCTATCTCAGAGTAGATCAACTCAGAGTTAAGGAATTGACTCAGAGTTTGTTGAACCACCTACGTGAAACGGACCCCAGAACAGGTATATGTTTCAAGGTATATAGGTTGAGTACAACAACACTGCCCTCTGTGGGACACAATGAGTAAGGGTGCACACAATGTTATCACATTTAACATAAAGGGCTCTATTTTCGTGCCTCGCCAACATCGTAGTGCAGGCATGGCGTAAGTCAGGTCTGCCGCGCCGACAAGGCATTCTCAAGCCCAATTTGGTATTTTGGTGAGTGGTGCAAGCATCCCCCCTCCCTAACTCAGCTCCTCCCAGCAGTGTAAGTCGTAGCGAGGGAGGAGAGAGGGCGTGTAGTGGGTTGAACACAGCCGAGACCTGTTTTCGCCAATCAGGACCACTCCTCTCCTCACCTTTAAATCCGCCACCGGCGAGGCGTATTACAATTTTCATGAAGTAGTCAAAGAGATCAAGAGATGTCTGAAGATAGCAATGCCACACGATGGCGACAGAAGGCAGCCCCTCAACAAGTGTTGCTGTAAGCGCTGCAGAGGGCATCCTCCACACTGTCTCATATAAGCACAGATGGATTTAGTGTGTGTAATGTTATACCCACTGGTAAGACAAACACCCTTTTCCACAAATAAAGACAATCACATAAAGTTGCATATATTCAAACCTCACGTGACAAAGGTGGGTTGTGCGCACAGATCACAACATTAACTCCAATAATGGCATTAAAGTCGAAACCATCTGTGCGTAATGACGCATCACGCTCCGTGACCTGGCTCTTTCTTTCATAGATGTTGGCATATAAAAACTGAATGTTATAATATTCGTATGTAGGCTTAAAGTAAATAACTCAATTGATCACTAAAATAAATCATGTGTTCAGCCGCCGCAGCTGCAGTAGGACGGGGAGAGGACAGGGAGACATGTCCAGGTCGAGCTGCGCGAGAAATAAGAGGAAGATAGAAATAGGGGGAGACTAATTAAATATCTTGTTCACTTCATCATGTGTTTCTGTTTACTAGATATTTAATTTAATTTAATGCGGTTTCAGCTGTGTTAATTCGGTCAGGTTATGTGTCTAAATGATTGCCAAACGCACTCATCAGATCACATATAGATCAGCATATATCTATATAGATCTAAATGTATGTGCTGACTCAGATTATTAGTTGTTGATTATTTATTGCACTGAAATGTGCCTGACACTGTGGAAACCTGCCGGTGAGGCATCGGTGACATATGCTGATACGCCGCCGCACCCTAAACATGTTATTCTGGAACCAGATCCAAGTCGCTGATGGACAGAAAGTTAATCTGAACCTGTGTAGAGTCACATCTAAACCAATCAAAACATTGATATTTATATTCCAGCAATAACATGACTGAGATGCCGTCACTGCGTCCTGGTAGGGATGGTAGAGGGCCGATTCCCTGCACATCTCAAACTCTTTAGCTCTGTTATGTTGTTTCAGTAGGTAAAAACAAAAATATTGTTATTATTATTATTTTAATTATTATTATTGTAAGGGCCTCATGGCAAATGCACTGAGGTGCTATTGTTATACTGTGGACCCTTTCTTACTCCTCTTCTGGACAAATTTTAATTCACTACTAGTCCTACAGCTTTAAAAGTTGTAGGACAAATTATACCGTGTATATAAAAAGTCTACACACCCCTGTTCAACTGCCAGGTTTTAGTGATGTAAGAAAATGACAGCAAGATAAATATTTTCACAACTTTTTCCACCTTTAATGTGACCTACAACCTGTACAATGCAATTGAAAAACGAACTGAAACCTTTAAGGGGAAATATAAAAAATAGAAAAGTTTAACTAACCTGGTTGCATAAATATGCACACCCTTAAACTAATACTTTGTTGTAGCACTGCTCCAAAACTACTCCAAATCTGACAAATTGCAAGGAGATCTCCTATGTACAGCCCTCTTCAGATCACCCCACAAATGTTCGATGGGATTCAGGTCTGGGCTCTGGCTGGGCCATTCCAAAGTCTCAATCTTATTCCGGTGATGGCATTCTTTTGTTGATTTGGATGTGTGCTTTGGGTCATTGTCGTGCTGAAAGATGAAGTTCCTCTTCATCTTCAGCTTTCTAGCAGAAGGCTGAAGGTTTTGTGCCAACGCTGACTGGTATTTGGAAATGTTCAGAATTCCCTCCACCCTGACTAAGGCACCAGTTCCAGCGAAAGAAAAACAGCCCCAAAGCATAATGTTGCCACCACCATGCTTCACTGTGGGTATGGTGTACTTTTGGTGATGAGCAGTTTTCCCACATGCGTTTGGGAGATTTCAGATATCTTTTTGCAAGATTAAATTAAATTAAATTAATTTTCTTGTTTTATCAACGGACATCCTGTTCTTGGTCATGTCAACGTTGTGCCATAGTTTCTCCACTTGATGATGACGGTTTTTACTGTGTTCCATGGTA